TGTGTGGAGCATACAGCAGTGTGGGTGGAGCATACAGCAGTGTGTATGTGGAGCATACAGCAGTGTGTGTGTGGAGCATACAGCAGTGTGTGTGCAGCATACAGCAGTGTGTGTGGAGCATACAGCAGTGTGTGTGGAGCATACAGCAGTGTGTGTGGAGCATACAGCAGTGTGTGTGGAGCATACAGCAGTGTGTGTGTGGAGCATACAGCAGTGTGTGTGGAGCATACAGCAGTGTGTGTGGAGCATACAGCTGTGTGTGTGTGGAGCATACAGCAGTGTGTGTGTGGAGCATACAGCAGTGTGTGTGGAGCATACAGCAGTGTGTGTGGAGCATACAGCAGTGTGTGTGGAGCATACAGCAGTGTGTGTGGAGCATACAGCAGTGTGTGTGTGTGGAGCATACAGCAGTGTGTGTGGAGCATACAGCAGTGTGTGTGGAGCATACAGCAGTGTGTATGGAGCATACAGCAGTGTGTGTGGAGCATACAGTAGTGTGTGTGCAGCATACAGCAGTGTGTGTGGAGCATTCAGCAGTGTGTGTGGAGCATACAACAGTGTGTGTGGAGCATACAACAGTGTGTGGAGCATACAGCAGTGTGTGTGGAGCATACAGCAGTGTGTGTGGAGCATACAGCAGTGTGTGGAGCATACAGCAGTGTGTGTGGAGCATACAGCAGTGTATGTGTGGAGCATACAGCAGTGTGTGTGGAGCATACAGCAGTGTGTGTGGAGCATACAGCAGTGTATGTGTGGAGCATACAGCAGTGTGTGTGGAGCATACAGCAGTGTTTACCTGGAGTTTACCTGGAGAGAGTTCCGGGGGTCAACGCCCCCGCGGCCCGGTCTGTGACCAGGCCTCCTGGTGGATCAGAGCCTGATCAACCAGGCTGTTGCTGCTGGCTGCACGCAAACTAACGTACGAGCCACAGCCCGGCTGATCAGGAACTGACTTTAGGTGCTTGTCCAGTGCCAGCTTGAAGACTGCCAGGGGTCTGTTGGTAATCCCCCTTATGTGTCCTGAGAGGCAGTTGAACAGTCTCGGGCCCCTGACACTTATTGTATGGTCTCTTAACGTGCTAGTGACACCCCTGCTTTTCATTGGGGGGATGGTGCATCGTCTGCCAAGTCTTTTGCTTTCGTAGTGAGTGATTTTCGTGTGCAAGTTCGGTACTAGTCCCTCTAGGATTTTCCAGGTGTATATAATCATGTATCTCTCCCTCCTGCGTTCCAGGGAATACAGGTTTAGGAACCTCAAGCGCTCCCAGTAATTGAGGTGTTTTATCTCCGTTATGCGCGCCGTGAAAGTTCTCTGTGTGTGGAGCATACAGCAGTCTGTGTGTGGAGCATACAGCAGTGTGTGTGGAGCATACAGCAGTGTGTGTGGAGCATAAAGCAGTGTGTGTGGAGCATACAACAGTGTGTGTGGAGCATACAGCAGTGTGCGTGCAGCATACAGCAGTCTGTGTGTGGAGCATACAGCAGTGTGTGTGGAGCATACAGCAGTGTGTGTGGAGCATACAGCAGTGTGTGTGGAGCATACAGCAGTGTCTGTGTGGAGCATACAGCAGTGTGTGTGGAGCATACAGCAGTGTGTGTGGAGTATACAGCAGTGTGTGGGGCATACAGCAGTATGTGTGGAGCATACAGCAGTGTGTGGGGAGCATACAGCAGTGTGTGTGGAACATACAACAGCGTGTGGGGTATACAGCAGTGTGTGGAGCATACAGCAGTGTGGGGGAGCATACAGCAGTGTGTGGGGAGCATACATCAGTGTGGAACATACAGCAGTGTGTGGAGCATGCGTCAGTGTGGAGCATACTGAAGTGTGTGGAGCATACTTAAGTGTGTGGAGCATACAGCAATGTGTGGGGCATACAGCCGTGTGTGTGGAGCATACATCAGTGTGTGTGTGTGGGGCATACAAGTGTGTTGGGCATACAGCAGTGTGTGGAGCATACAACAGTGTGTGTGTGGAGCATACAACAGTGTATGGAGCATACAGCAGTGTGGAGCATAGAGCAGTGTGTGTGGAGCATACAGCAGTGTGTGGAGCCTACATCAGTGTGTGTGGAGCATACAAGTGTGTGGAGCATACAGCAGTGTGTGTGGAGCATACAACAGTGTGTGTGGAGCATACAGTAGTGTCTGTGGAGCATACAACAGTGTGTGAAGCATACAACAATGTGTGGAGCATACAACAGTGTGTGTGGAGCATACAACAGTGTGTGGAGCATGCAACAGTGTGTGGAGCATACAGCAGTGTGTGTGGAACATACAACAGCGTGTGTGGAGCATACAGCAGTGTGTGTGGAGCATACAACAGTATGTATGGAGCATACAGCAGTGTGTGGAGCATACAACAGTGTGTGTGGAGCATACAGCAGTGTGTGTGTGGAGCATACGACAGTGTATGTGGAGCATACAAGTGTGTGTGGAGCATACAACAGTGTGGGGCATCCAACAGTGTGTGGGGCATACAGCAGTATGTGTGGAGCATACAACAGTGTGTGTGTGTGGAGCATACAACAGTGTGTGGAGCATACAACAGTGTGTGAAGCATACAACAGTGTGTGTGGAGCATACAACAGTGTGTATGGAGCATACAACAGTGTGTATGGAGCATACAACTGTGTGTGTGGAGCATACAACAGTGTGTGTGTGGAGCATTCAACAGTGTGTGTGGAGCATACAACAGTGTGTGTGTGGAACATTCAACAGTGTGTGTGGAGCATACAACAGTGTGTGTGGAGCATACAACAGTGTGTGTGTGAAGCATACAACAGTGTGTGGAGCATACAACAGTGTGTGTGTGGAGCATACAACAGTGTGTGTGGAGCATACAAAAGTGTGTGTGTGGAGCATACAACAGTGTGTGGAGCATACAACAGTGTGTGTGGAGCATTCACCAGTGTGTGTGGAGCATACAACAGTGAGTGTGTGGAGCATTCAACAGTGTGTGTGGAGCATACAACAGTGTGTGTGTGGAGCATACAACAGTGTGTGTGAAGCATACAACAGTGTGTGGAGCATACAACAGTGTGTGTGGAACATTCAACAGTGTGTGTGGAGCATACAACAGTGTGTGTGTGGAGCATACAACAGTGTGTGTGTGAAGCATACAACAGTGTGTGGAGCATACAACAGTGTGTGTGTGAAGCATACAACAGTGTGTGTGGAGCATACAAAAGTGTGTGTGTGGAGCATACAACAGTGTGTGGAGCATACAACAGTGTGTGTGGAGCATACAACAGTGTGTGTGTGGAGCATACAACAGTGTGTGTGAAGCATACAACAGTGTGTGGAGCATACAACAGTGTGTGTGTGCATACAACAGTGTGTGTGTGTGGAGCATACAACAGTGTGTGTGGAACATACAACAGTGTGTGTGTGGAGCATACAACAGTGTGTGTGTGGAGCATACAAGAGTGTGGAGCATACAACAGTGTGTGGAGCATACAACAGTGTGTGGAGCATACAACAGTGTGTGTGGAGCATACAACAGTGTGTGGAGCATACAACAGTGTGTGGAGCATACAACAGTGTGTGTGTGGAGCATACAACAGTGTGTGTGTGTGTGGAGCATACAACAGTGTGTGTGGAGCATACAACAGTCTGTGTGGAGCATACAACAGTGTGTGTGTGGAGCATACAACAGTGTTTGTGGAGCATACAACAGTGTGTGTGTGGAGTATACAACAGTGTGTGTGGAGCATACAACAGTTATGTGTGGAGCATACAACAGTGTGTGGAGCATACAACAGCGTGTGTGGAGCATACAACAGTGTGTGTGTGGAGCATACAACAGTGTGTGTGTGGAGCATACAACAGTGTGTGTGTGGAGCATACAACAGTGTGTGTGTGGAGCATACAACAGTTATGTGTGGATCATACAACAGCGTGTGTGGAGCATACAACAGCGTGTGTGGAGCATACAACAGTGTGTGTGGAGCATACAAAAGTGTGTGTGTGTGGAGTATACAACAGTGTGTGTGTGGAGCATACAACAGTTATGTGTGGAGCATACAACAGCGTGTGTGGAGCATACAACAGTGTGTGTGGAGCATACAACAGTGTGTGTGTGTGTGGAGTATACAACAGTGTGTGTGTGGAGCATACAACAGTTATATGTGGAGCATACAACAGCGTGTGTGGAGCATACAACAGCGTGTGTGGAGCATACAACAGTCTGTGTGGAGCATACAACAGTGTGTGTGTGGAGCATACAACAGTGTGTGTGGAACATACAACAGTGTGTGTGGAGCATACTACAGTGTGTGGAGCACGTAACACAAGGAGTCTGAAGGGATCAATGTGGGTCGCGTCTGGAGCTCAGCGAATTCAAAATAATCCTTCAGAATGTAGCATAATTCTACGTCAGGAGCATAGCAAATGAAGAGCATGGGTATGACACCGCCAGTGTCGGGCCTCGACCAGACACTGACAGTCACAAACCTCACAACAACAGTTTTTTGGCTCATCCTGAGAAGCTTTACTGAACAATGAGTCAGCTTAGCTAGGATGGTCCCTGGCAGGGGTCCAGGGCTGCCTGTACCCCTGGCGGCTCCACCTTGTGTTGCCTACCCTGCCAATGTATATATTTATGCCAGAAATTTCACTGTGGAGTAAAATATCGAAATTCTGCGTCAACGACTGCAGCTTCAGAGATCCAGTATTGCTGCATCCCAGATGCCAACCAGCCTTAAATAAAACATTTTTTATTGCCAAACCGTAGCATTCTATATAGAAAAGCACGACACGTAATAATTAAGAATTCGTTTGAGGATTTGAGTGTGTCTTTGATATTGTGCCACAATGATTATTAAGGCGAGGATAATTCACTAAAAATGTTGTTGTGGTAACTGCTATAGGTGAGCAGGAGGGACAGACTGAAGTCAGTGTCAGTGCCTCTGAGAACCTTGAACGGGGAGGTATACGTCTCTCGCTCCTCCTGCTACTGCGTTATCACATACACTTTTTGAAATGCTTATCAGTGATAACCATTTTTATTTTTTCAGATAGTTTTCTGGACGGGCAGTGAATGATATAAAATCAAAAGAAGTGCAGCATCATTTAAATGTCTGAACTGAAAACTGTTCTGTACTTCTCATCTCCCATAAAAATTAGTCAGTGGCATATGTATATATATGTAACGATGTGTAATAAGTGAAATTTGGCGTAATATTGGCGTTGATCTACGCCGGTTAACGTGGTGAGTGAATTAAGATGTTAGGATACCAGATTAATCTCCACCTTCTGTGTTAATCTGGTTTTTCTAGGCATTGCAACATTTACCATTTATTTAACTTAAATATATTATTAGCCTATTGGATTTCATGAGTACATGGTTTGTGGTGGGAACATTGTCTATGGTGGAGTGATCGCTGAGGGGGCGGGGGGGATTCTTAATCTGTAATGAAACTGCTAAATGACTGCCCGTCTTGTGGTTTAATAGTTGTCTTTATAGTTGTCCAAGAATCTGGATGAAAGGGACCTTGAGAACAGACTAGCCTCCTCTTCTCTCTTTCTCTCTCTCGATCTATCTATCTGTGTCTATCCTCCCCGTCTGTGTGTGTGTGCTCACCGAGTTGTGTTTGCGGGGGTCGAAACTTACGTTCTAGTCCCTGCATTCATGGGCAGCTTGTGCCCTGTCATATCTACTCTTGAAGCTCTGTACTGAGTTCACCCCTTGCCTCCAGGTACCACTGCCTCATTCAGGTTATTTCATTGTCTTGTGGGTACTCGCCTGATTGTGCTTGCAGGGTCGAGTCTCAGCTCCTGGCCTCACCTCCTGGCTCTCTGCTGTGTGTATGTGTGTGTGTGTTGTGTATGTGTGTGCGTGTTGTGTATGTGTGTGTTGTGTGTGTGTGTGTGTGTGTATGTGTGTGTTGTGTATGTGTGTGTGTTGTGTGTGTATGTGTGTGTTGTGTATGTGTGTGTGTTGTGTGTGTGTGTGTTGTGTATGTGTGTGCATGTTGTGTATGTGTGTGTTTGTGTGTGTGTGTGTGTTGTGTATGTGTGTGTGTTGTGTGTGTGTGTGTGTGTGTGTGTGTGTGTGTGTGTGTGTGTGTGTGTGTGTGTGTGTGTGTGTGTGTGTGTGTGTGTGTGTGTGTGTGTGTTTCAACGGCTAACTTACAGTGGCCACCACTCAAAACGATCGACACACAACGATCAACACAGGGACAAACACAACAGTCAATACAGGTGTCAACACACAATGTTCAACATAACAATCGACACAACAATCAACACACAACAATCAACACACAACAATCAACACAACAATCAACACAACAATCAACACAACGATCAACACGATAATCAACACAACGATCAACACAGCAATCAACACAACAATCAACACAACAATCAACACAACGATCAACACAGCAATCAACACAACAATCAACACAACAATCAACACAATCAACACAACAATCAACACAACAATCAACACAACAATCAACACAACAATCAACACAACAATCAACACAACAATCAACACAACGATCAACACAACAATCAACACAACAATCAACACAACAATCAACACAACAATCAACACAGCAATCAACACAACGATCAACACAACAATCAAACACAACAATCAACACAACAATCAACACAACAATCAACACAGCAATCAACACAGCAATCAACACAACAATCAACACAACGATCAACACAACAATCAACACAACAATCAACACAACAATCAACAACAATCAACACCGATTAACAAAATCAACACAACAATCAACACAACAATCAACACAACAATCAACACAACGATCAACACAACAATCAACACAACAATCAACACAACAATCAACACAACAACACAATCAACACAGCAATCAACACAACAATCAACACAACGATCAACACAACAATCAACACAACAATCAACAACAATCAACACAACGATTAACACAACAATCAACACAACAATCAACACAAAACAACACAACAATCAACACAACGATCAAACACAACAATCAACATAAGTCAACACAACGATCAACACAACACAACAACACACACAACGATCAACACAACAATCACAACAATCAACATAACAATCAGCACAACAATCAACATAACAATCAACACAACAATCAACATAACAATCAACACAACGATCAACACAACAAATCAACACAACAATCAACAACGATCAACACAACACAATCAACACAACAATCAACACAACAATCAACACAATCAACACAACAATCAACACAACAATCAGCAACAACAATCAACACAACGATCAACACAACAATCAACACAACGATCAACACAACACAACAATAACACAAACAATCAACAACAATAACACAACAATCAACAACAATAACAACAATCAACAAACATAACACAACAATCAACACAACAATCAACACAACAATCAACACAACAATAACACAAACAATCAACACAACGATCAACACAATCACACAACAATAACAACAATCAACACAACAATAACAACAATCAACATAATCAACACAACAATCAACACAACAATGACACAACAATACAACACAACAATCATCACAACAATAAACAACAATCAACACAACAATAACAACAATCAACCCAACAACATAACAAACAATCAACACAATAACAATCAACACAACAATCAACACAACAATAACAACAATCAACACAATAAACAATCAACACAACAATCAACACAACAATAAACAACAACAACATAACAATCAACACAAACAATCAACACAATAAACAACAATCAACATAACAATCAACATAAACAATCAACACAACAATCAACACAATAACAACAATCAACATAACAATCAACACAACACAATCAACACAACAATCAACAACAATCAACACAAACAATAACAACAATCAACACAATAAAAATCAACACAACAATAACAACAATCAACACAACAATAACAACAATCAACACAACAATAACAACAATCAACACAACAATCAACATAACAATCAACAACCAAACAATAACAACAATCAACACAACAATAAACACAACAATCAACACAACAATAACAACAATCAACATAACAATCAACACAACAATCAGCAACAATCAACACAACGATCAAACACAACTAACACACAACAAACAACACACAACATCTAACACAAACTCTGATGCTAAAACAAAAATAAGCGTCACCCACCAAATATCCCTCATTTTTATTCATATTTACATCTATTTTTGTTCTGTTTCTGACGATTTCGTGGTTTATTGAGCCTCGGGGAACTGATGACACGACTGACGTATTTCCCGGATGATGTCAGGTCACTTCTGTTATTATATAGTCTTGTTGAGAGTGGCTGCTTTCGGCCTTCACTAGTGACGTCACTGACATCCTCACACTTGACGGCATTGACATCCTCACACTTGACGGCATTGACATCCTCACACTTGACGGCATTGACATCCTCACACTTGACGGCATTGACATCCTCACACTTGACGGCACTGACATCCTCACACTTGACGGCATTGACATCCTCACACTTGACGGCACTGACATCCTCACTTGACGGCATTGATATCCTCACACTTGACGGCACTGATATCCCCACACTTGACGGCACTGACATCCTCACACTTGACGGCACTGACATCCCCACACTTGACGGCACTGACATCCCTACACTTGACGACACTGACATCCCCACACTTGACGGCACTGACTTCCCCACACTTGATGGCACTGACATCCTCACACTTGACGGCATTGACATCCCCACACTTGACAGCACTGACATCCCCTCACGTGACGTCACTGACATCCCCACACGTGAATCACTAATTTCACCCCCACGCCAAAGACATCATCATTCTAGTGTATATTGTTGGTAGTTGTTATTGTGTTGGCTGTGGTTATTGAAGCAGTGATGGTTATTGTAGTGATAGTAGTTATTTTGGTAGTGGTTAATGTCGTGGTTGTAGTGGTTTTGTGGTGGTGGGAGATATTGGTGCTGATGGTTATTTTGGCACTTATGGTGCTGGTGATTATTAATGTAATGGTGGTGTCAGTGTGGTGATGTTAATGGCTATTATGGTGGTGATAGAGGGATACTGTAGTGGTGTTAAAGGTCACTATAGTGGTGACAGTGGGGTACATGTGTTAGTAGCGATGATAACAGTGATATATATGACTTATATTTTTGGTGATATCGAGTCCAGGAGTAAGTACCGCCATTTACGAGGATTGAAAGTGACAGTACCGTGGCTGGAACAGTTCACAACTAACTTAGAATTTGGAGAAAAGACTCGCAAACAACATTTCGGTCAAATCTAGGACCATTATCAACCCACAGTTTATCAATGGTCTTGGGCGGGCCAGAACATTGAAAGTTTTATCTCAAATTGTGTTTTGGTTGTAAAATTGGGTCTCGGGTACAGTTGATGCTAAGATTTGATAATAAATTATTCCGTATTGCTTGCGAGTTTTATGACTAAAAGTTAGCGAATTGGGTTTAAAGCCTATCTACTACGCGAAGCTCGTAAATACTTCGTTTAACCTGTTGACCACTACTTAAGAATCCCTAAACCAGGGATCAAAATAAATATCCAGTGTATATTCACCAAGAGACATACAGCTCTCGGTATATATACATTGCGTATATATACCGACTGTTATTTGGTATATGGAATGTACTCACCTTTTTCTGGTTGCAGGGGTCGATTCACAGTTCCTGGCCCCCGCCTAGTGTATGTGTACAGTGTGAGTGTGTGACACAATCTTCTTGCGTCTCCTCCTCGTGTTGTATAGATAGGAATGATTGTGGTGACAGGGCTACTACTCTTTCCTTGAAGGTCATGGTGGTAGGAGTGACAGAGCTTAGGTTAGATAGGGTTTGTCAGGAAACAGGATAAGTGTTTCCTGACGCGGGTCTGAGTCAGATGATGACCCGCCTTAGGAGCTTTTGGTCATCTGACCGAGACCTTCCGCTGGCTTACCGGTTCACCCCTTTATAAATTATGCTCAGTTATACTATAAATATTTAGTTACTTAGGAGTGACAGATTCTCTGGTGATCATGGCAGCTTTGGTCTTGACTAAACCAAAACCTTCATTGGGACTCTTGACTAAGTCATCTGATAAATCTTTATGTAAAAGTTTTATCATGTGATAAAATTCTACACAGAGCGAAACGTTCCAATAAAGGATCGTTGTGTTACATTTGTGTG